GTTTAGGGCCCTTCACATAGCACCGCCCTCTCCTTCCAGATGCTCCCCGTGAACACTGACGACTTTCAAGGTTAAGCACACTCGATTCCTCGCATGAGAGGATTCTCAAGACAGAACACACATCCTCACGGTAAGAAGCGTTGAAGAGGGTAGATAAGGTTAGGTGCAACGTACCTCAAAATAGCTGGCCCCAACCACAAATATTCTCACGAGATGACCTGATGCCGATTGTGATGACCAATCACTGCTTCGGCACAACCAGCATTACACCGCCGTTCCACCACAACATCAATCGCACATTAGATAGCTCTCATCGCATTGCGAACACCCAATATACACCATGTAGCCTTCCTGGCGATCCCCTCTCCACCTGGGTCGCCTGCTTATCTTCGCCCTCCTCACTACACACTCCCTACGACCGCTCGCTTAGCAGAGTGCATGCATGTACCGCATAGGCAGAAGATAAGCGCCAGATTAGCGCACCGTACCACAACTCCGATACCAAATTGCAAGGAAAATGCGCGATAGTGAACTTCAGAAATCAAACAGCATCAGACACATGAGTCCAGATAGTCGTGACCTCGAACCAATAGCAGAATTGCATCACGAGTTTCACCAAATAAGAGCACAGCAAAAGCTCATAATTGACAATGCTCAATAGTCTCATCATCGTCAACGAAGAACCAATGTCGATATCCTATCTGGCGCTCGACGCCCAGACTACAAATGGCAGATCCTATTCAGCCTATCTACGATGCCGCTGATGACGTCAACAGCTCCCCGAAGTACGAGCAGATCTCGGCCAATGCCGCTTGCCTCAAGCACCAGGTATGTCGCTCGTATCACTCACAACCTCGATCCCCAACTCACATATGGCACAAGCACCCAAGAACTACCATGCGCGCCGTCCACCATACAACAGCGCAACTCGGCTATGGCTGCCTGCTCCTTCCAGGTCGCCCGTGAGCGCGTGAGCACTGGCCAGCGTTAGCGCAGCAGCGCTTGCGCAGCATGCAGCCAGTGTCGGAATGCCAAATGCGTGGGCAGGCCCTTTCCTAAATGGAAGTGGCCTGCCTGCCTTGCGTGCAGCCTGGCTGCGCTGCCTGGAAGCTTCTGGTAGGCCCAGAGAGGCTGAGCCCCAGTCCAAACGATTCAGGCCTTGGGCCTATAGTGGTTGGCTGTGTCCAACTGCCTGCGGCGTGTGTTCAGTTTATGTTGCGAATCTGGCCTTGGGCCTGCCTCAGTTACATTCGAAATAGGTAGCCAGAGCCTGGGTGCTTTCAACGAACTGGTGCTGCGCAACTGCCTGAATTTCCCCGGTTGCGTGTTGACCCCAAAATAGGCCTGTAGGGCTTAGTCGAGCCTGCCTTCACTTAGGGCGGCCGACTATACAGGAAATAGGGCCCAGTAGGGCTTATCGAGGCCTTGAGCCTCACACTATCCTAACTGTGCGAGCTATTGAATAGTGTGATAGGGGTAGTAGGCAGGGTTAGTTGGGGGGGGTCGCTCGATCAGGTTGGGGATGATGGTGGGGATGATGATAATGATGATTGTCGATGGTGGGGGGGGGAGGTAGTGTGCAACGGGGGGGGAATGTCGGGGGAAGGGTATCCCGTTTGGTG